GTGTCTCGGGCGGAATTCATTCGTAACCAATTACAGCAACTCAGGGTAAGTTCCTATTTATATCACTCAACATTATAAACATCAATATTCTATATCTATATAAAATATATATTTGGTATTTCAATATTTTTCGTTTACTTTAAATACATAAACTGAAATATTATATATAAGTATTCTTTAAATCTTATTCATAGAAAAATATATTTTTTTTCATTATATGGTACAACCACATTTCATTAGATAAATATAATCTAACATGCACATTTCCCATATATTTTAAGACTTGTTTTATACAACACAGAAATTAATAGAAACAGAAGTATTTGGAGGATCTTCAAACATAGACATCTTCTCCTAATAAGATTAATGCATACGTTATTGTTGTTTTTAGGTTTTCTTGAGAATTTCTTAATAACTTTTGTAATGTCGGCTGATATGTAAAAGTAATTTATCATCAGGTGTATTAATTAATATATACACATAGCTTAATAGATTACAGATGCAGTTTATATCATGTAAAGTGTGGATTCAGAATATTTTATAAACTCAACCATAACAATTGGGTTGGCAAAAAAGTAATTGCTGACTTTCTTATACAAATGAAATATGATTTTTTATATAATTATTAAACTTTATTCTACAATTAAATATCAAAATTTAATGAAATTAGACAAAAATATAGTAAATGAAAATAATTGGTAATGTTTGTATCTTTTTTGTCATAATTGACAATAATTATATTCAGAAATAATTAAATTTTATCCTGATAAAATAACAACGTGTAAGGACTGATAAACAAAGAAATAGAGCACTGAATAATAAAAGTAAAGTGCGTTGAAAGTTAGTAAATCCTAATCTGGCAGACGAACACATAAATTTGCAAGTTTTCTTGCATAGTGAAGGATCTCAGCAGTTCAGGATGTGCGGGTTGTCGGCTTTATGGTTTTGCTGAGATCGTTGGACCGCAACGTCGCGCCGTCCTCGTGTTCGGTTTGGCTTGTATCTTTGGCTTTTCCGTGCGAAGACACTTTGGGTTTTCCGTGGGGTGGATGTAAGAGCGGTGGGGAGTTCGGCGGTTGGTCCCATCAATCCGGTGCAAAATTGGGCGCGGACGCAGCATGCGAAAACTTCCGCAACCCCCGGGTTTAATTAGGCGTGAAGGGTGGATAAGGCGGCGCACATACGTGTAGCAGAAACAACACTTTGGAACTGCACAACTTCACAAAACCCACATTTAATGCCTCCGCCAACAAACTATAAACGCCTAATAATGTCGGTCCCGTTTAACACACACCAGATTAATTTCCGACCTGTCCAACACTCCTAAAACGCATATATCATTATGTTGATTACATATATCGATTCACGGAAACTAGTTTTGTTAATATAACTTTAGTAACAAGTCAAGATTTATCTATAATTGAATATTACTACTCATATCCAATGTTTTTATTTAATATATATGCTTTATTCTCGGATTTCGAACAATACCTTAAATAAAAATCAAAAGGTTCCGGATTAGGAACTGTTGGTTCTCCAAGAGGCAAACTGGGAATCGGTATGTAGAATTTTCAAAAGGAATGCTATAGCATATTTTCTTTCTCTCACAAAATAAAACTTGAAGAATCGAAACTATTACATATAACTATAGCAAAATAAAATTTATTCCTATACACTATAACGAATAACGAATAAAATATTACTTTAATCCATCTTTTGCTCAGAAAATGATGTTAAGTAGTAAGGAATATTTACAGAACTTGTCTTGTCATAAGAATCTAGTAAGTGTAAGTCTAGTGTAATTAAGTATAACAATTTAGTCTATAACTTTTTGAAATATTATGTAATATATTAATAAACATTAAAGTTTAGTTTTAAAAATAACTTGTATGTGCATCGAATACCAAAATAAAATTTTGGAAGTTCAATATTTTCTAGATTTATATTATCATTTATTGATATCATCCAAATATAAAAATTTAAAACTAATATTTTCTGTAGCTCCCTATATTTATTTATCTTACAGTTTTGAACCGTGTTATAAAAAAAAACTTATTCAAATTACACGGATTAAATAAAACATACCTGAAAACATTTTTTAACCTGACTTAATAGACAGATAACTTTTTATGTTGGTGAAGTGACTTTCGATGAGGTTAAAACCGACTGGCATCAACAAAAAAATAAATAATCCTAAGCCTTGCTAAGAGCGAGATTAATTCCACCCATGATCCGTAAGTAGTAAATCGATTCTCATCAACAATATCCTTCCCTTCTCCCGTACATTTTTTTTTATTGTTTTTCGTTCGATCTGCTAAGCCGGATTTTTTCTCTTTTTTTTTCTGGAGACTGTGACCCGCATGTGTTGTAGGCTCTGATGAGTTGGCAATCAACGGGGAAGAGCAAGTGTCATCGGGTCAAGCAATTGGGCCTGCGAACCAATCAGCAGTTTGCGAAAAACCTGAAATTGAATTCATAAATCGAAGCCCGTTTCTCATTTCCCTTTTGTCTTACTTTAATCAATGATGACCCGAATCTACCCTGCACAAATATGATAAAAGGAAACCAGATTGATGACAGTACATAAAATGAAAAATATAAATCGAGTTTACTTATTTCCATTTTTTTTATCTAGTTTTATCATATGAACATGCAAATTTATAATGTCAATATTAAGTTTTATGAAAAATAGAGAAATTAGTGGTTTTTTTTTGTAATTTACTAAATTAAATTATGAAATTAAATTATTTAGTGTTCCTGTTAGACGACATACTCAATATATAAAAGTTTTAGTAATATTTTACTAATAATTAAATAAATCAGACACAAGTGTAGCATATAAAAATCGTAAATAACTGGTGGTTCTTGAGAAGTGGAGGAAAGTTGCTTCAGTTTGTTTCCATCGTTTTCAACGCGCGATGTATTTCTCTGCTCGTTGGCTTTCGCCCCCGCTGTTCCTGGTTTATGAACTAAAACTTTTCCGAGGTAATAACAGCAATTGTAGCCTCCTCCTTCTTGGAGGAGCCTCAACCATCGCTTGTCTGTACTCCTATTACTATCTCGCTCTCGCTACTCCATCCAAACCCCTGCTCTCAGCATGCTAGTGGTTACATACTATACACTACAATATATAGATATAGACATGTAAGTCTAGAATCGAATGTAATAAGAAGTCGAAGGCCCCCCTGTCGAGTTCTGCTCGTATGTGCCGACGACGTTTCTGATTTATGTTATGGCCTCTGATTCAATGCAGATACAGGAGGGAGAGAAAATGTGGCTTCGCTACCCGACTTATTGCTTCTCGGAATTCGCTATTGTCTGTGTCTTTAATTAGTTTTTTCTTCTAACTTCGTTGTCAACTTCTTTTTCACTGATAAAACTTAACGCAGACGCACACAAAGACACATTTCCCTCTTTTATCTGATGCTACAGCTTGTAATCCATTAAACAGATTGTCGATTTGTATTGAATAAGCGCATTCTCCATTATATCCTATAATATATATAGACCATAGTATAAAAAGAATTGTAGTATTGATCACTTTAATATATTAAATACATCACATACTGATCACATCTATATATAAAATATAACTTTTTTTTATAAATGTAATCATATTTTTACTGACGTGAAAGATTTATGTGAGAATTCTAATAAATATGCTATTTATGGATTTCAAGCAACAAGTTGGAATGTTACATGTTGAAGATATTTATATTTAGGGAATTCAACTATACATATTTAATAGTAATACAGTTTTCCTATCATGTGAAACATTTTTTTTCTTAATTTGAATGAAATCTATTGAATTTATATTAGTAAAATTAATATTTACCTGTCAGTAATTAAACAATATTATTTCACTTTTAATATTATACTACAATTAATAAATATTGGATTAATAGTAAAAAAATAGCGCTTTTGTCTTTATGTATTTTTACAATATCAATTGTTGAATGAAATATTATTATCATTTTTAATTTAAAACTCTTTTGATGCGAAATTTCGGATTCTATCTTTTAATTTATTTCAAGGAATAAACTGAAAATTTAAAAATAGTTTTAGGTAAAAGCTAACATACTACCAACTGGTTATAAGTTGCAGAATTTCCGCTGTTTATATTTTGTATTTTCTTAGGAAACATATGTAACTGTTGTGTTTAATAATACTAATTATTATTAGGTTCAATTGTTAAAAACATATTTCTCTTAAGTAACGTGAATAAATCGAACGAAAATGAAAAAGAGTAATTCATTGTTTCTATGTAATTAGTAGCTATTCAATAAGTATTTCCTTTTTTGTGCACTCATTATTATTTTAATATATAGAAATTTTTAATGAATGACCCTTAAATACAATTATGTATTCAGAACATTCAGACAATAGAAGTAGCCCCTACACCGACCATTGAAACAACCTTTCGATTCTACTGTTTTTTAATTAAGACATCTTTACAAGTCAGCAAAAGCCAGGTACTACTAGTCGCTCATTGATGAAATCCCTTTTCATCCCACTATTTTTAATTATGAGATCTTTGCCGGTTGCCAACATTAATTTAGAGCTTCCGAGGGCCAATGGAAGCGTAGATTTCTGAAAATGATTGGCCGTGAATGGACCAGGAGGGTGGATTGAAAATAATGTCGGTTCATGTGTGTGTGTGTGTGGATGTTGTACGTATGTGTGCATTTGCAGTGGGGACGTTAATGTTTGCATTGAGTCGGTTTCTAAAGTTGCATGTCATTTTGAACGGCTTATGTTAATATTGACGTATGTACTTTGAGACTTCGCTAGTTTGTAGTTATGCCCGCAGCTCAGTGAGCTTTTCCGGTATTAAATCCTGCCGCGATGAAAGACGGAGTTTCATCAAAGTTTAAGAATATAATAAATCCAGGAGGAAACTCATCATGCCGAGCGATGTGTTCGATATCCGAGGACACACACATAAAAATACACACACACACAAACAGTGCCACACATATGAAGGACTACGGCCAGGACGATATTGCGTTTTTATTATTTTGGTATTTGCGACGGTTATGCGCATTCCGAAGGGTGGACCTCAAAGATCAACCATCTGGGGGGATCCGAATCAAAAATATATTAAAAATAAAAGGATAAAGTTAAAGCTAACAACGGAGGAGAAATTCCTCTCTGTGGACGTCTCAATTGTGGTTTCGACTTCGACCTCAACGTTCAGACCCTTGATCTCGCCTTTCTCGAAATTCTGAGTGGCTGTAGAAGTGGTGACTATCGAATCCACGTATTCTATCAGTATGTCTTCATCGTTGTCGTCCTCGTCGTCATCGTCGTCGGAGATATCCTCGATGCCTCTTCTCTTAAAACTAAAATTTTCCCTTAGGTTTAGAACGAATTTCACAGCTGCCTCTTGCGTTGCCTGGATTTAGTCGCATCGTCGCAGCCCAAATCCGCGGAGATCTTGAAGAACTTCATCAGCTTATTCAAAATCTTCTTGCTCTGATTGCATCCGTTCGGCTCGGCTTTAGGGAAATCTTCGTAATCCTCGTTCTCCGCATCAAGAGGTGCTGTTTTATTGTTATGATCAACTCTCGTCTTATTTTTTAATTCCATTTTTGTGTTATTAACGCTTTCTGTACCATTACCAGTATCCACCTCGATCACGATGTTTTTTCTTCGGCGCGTCTGGTATGCTTCTGAGGAATCGACGCTATCTGCAAATTTGATTTAGGAAGACGCAATCTTGGTTAGTTTTATTTACCAGTCGATGTCGGATTTCCGTCATCGTCCTCCGTCTCCTCCGCCCTCGTATATAGCGTGACGTTCGCACCGAGCTGCAGCATTTCCTCAGATACAACTGTTTCCGTAATAATCTCATCGTTCTCACCATCCAAAGCTGTATATTCCGAGGTATCAATCTTATCTTCCCAGGCCATCTGCATCTCCTTGTCGTCCTGTTTTATCTTAGACTCCGGCTCCGTCGTTTTCGCTGCACCGACGGTAAAATTGCATTCCCGTTTGGTGAAGTTCTTCGGCACAGCCTTGAGACAGTCCTTCTCCGTCGTGCTGGTAGTCTTGATGCCGCAGAATTCATCATCATTAGGATCGTAGTTATCGAGCTTCACGTTCCGTACAGTCGGTTTTCGCGCAGTAGCGCAAGGACTTACCGTCGTTGTCTTCTCTTTACCACAAAACTCATCGTTGTCCAGATAAGTAGGCGTCGTTTCCAATTCTAAAAGTTTCATCAGCTTCTTCTTCTTCCTGAGCTTAGGTCTTTTGATCGGATTCACTTTATAGTAAACGTGTGTGGTTGTTTCAATATCCGAACCTCGTTTAGTCTTGAAATGATTTATAACGCTTTTCTTTATGGAGCTAAGACGTTTGAAGCCCTGCTCCTTGTCTTTGCGGTTGTGGGTATTCCCGAATTTGATAGGCCTATGGTCGTACAGTTTCAGGAACGCCTTTTTCATCGCCCTCCCGGCATTTGCTCTAACAGTTCTCGGACTGTTGTAAGGATATTTGTGGTATTCCTCCTTGTTCAAGTAGCGAAGCGGTATTGAATTGATGAAGTCCTCCTCGCTCATGTATTCAACTAAAATAAAAAAAATTGATACAAGTTATTCAGAGGTAAGCTTTGATTTTCACCTAATTCTGGTGGTGGAATGGAGAAGGTCCTGAAAACCTTGGAAACGCCGTCCTCCTCATAGATGTGGCACCGGCAATTCTGCAAATCTTCCGGGCAACTAATGTTACAACGTTTCTGTTTAATTCGAATAGCGCAAATTGAAATAAAGTTACCAACTAGTTCCCGGTCCTAAACAGTCGACGTCGCCTTCGCCTCTGCAACAAATTATAATGAATAACAGGAAGGGTTGTGTTTAAGTTTTTTGGGACAAACGTAAGTTTATTGATACACGTGGCTTCATCAAACTGGGACATGCAGCTGACGTCTGTGCAGAAGGGGTTGGACCAGTCCGTCCAGAAGGAATGAACCTCCCTCGGCAGAGACGATCTTTTACCAGGTTGCTCGCAAAACTGAAATACGTGAATTTCACTCCAACGTATCGATTAGAAAGGAAGACATTACCGGTTGCCGATGATGGCATTCGGGATCGCAAACAACGCTGTGTATCCGCTTATTAATCGTTTCCGGTTTGCAGGCGGCTAATCCGCAAACGTTATTATCTCCGCACAGGCTGTCAGGTAAGGGAGCTTTGAAACAAGTGGGAAAACCTAAAGCGGGATAATTAATTTCCGTACGCTGCGAACCGTTCCTATATCTCATCATACCCTGCACTTTGAACAGCTTCGAGTCGGATAGGTCGCTGTTGCAGTCGCATTGTTGTGCTTTCAACGAGAGAAGCGTCACGTCGCACAGCCTCCTGTGGACCCTAGTTCCGTACATGTTGTTGGTGCGGAGGTCACAATCGGCCGAGCGTTTCTCTTGCAGGTTGGATGGACAGAAGGACCATCTGCTTAGAGTGTCATCGTCGCAGAGGCCTAAGAAGTACTCACGGATCTGATGCTCCTTGTCGTACTTTCTCGGTCTCGTTTCCACGAACATCTGAAAGCTTATCGCAATTTTTGGGTGGTGGAGAGAGTTCTTTTGGGTGAGGGATGCAAACGCACAGCGTAGTATTTATCTCCAACTTCCACAAAGGCGCATTGTTGAAGATGTAACTGCTTCACCCAGTGTTCGATGTTGTACGTGGGCGGATCGACGTCGTAGGGGTAAACTGAATTCGGCACGTGCTTCTTGAACTCCGTGCATCCCACGTAAACTAGTGTCAAAACAATCAAAACTGACATCATTTCTGACAATCAAACAACACGAACACATCTGATACATTAAAGAAAAAATTAAACACTTTAAAAAAAATTGCTTAATTTGAATATTTGTAACAATAAACATATTTCTATAACATTACTTATAGAACCAATAACAACCACAAATATAACAAAACCTTCAATTAAAATAGATACTTCATTATTAATTGACTAATAATCATCAAAATAAAGTGATATATAGATAATAAAGTAAAACTTTAGTTGCCAACTTCTGGTGACTGATGCATTTATAATTTATTAATTCATTTTCTTATGTAGTATAATTCTATTCACAATCTGTTTGACAATGTGAACATTGAGTAAATTTAAAATCGCGGTTGACATTAAATGGATAATCTTTCCCGGTGGATAGTTACCATTATGATGATTAGATTTTAATTTGTTGGTTGGCTGTCGTCTTGTAGGTTAACTTCAGTAGTATGTTGATGCTCTGCGATTCCACTATTTCCTTTGACTGTAAATCTACTGATATCATTAACACTGTCATTGTCCATCGACTTGGCTGAAGGTCCATATGCAGAACCTTATTCATTTGACTGTCCATCTGTGATGAACGATGGCCCTATTGCTGCAACCGGGATTCGAACCGGCGCGCACGAAATCGTGGGTAGGGCGACTTAACCATTCGGCTATTAGTCGCCCTTAGTAATTTATAAGACAAAAAAAAAAAAAACATAGACATCGAAAAATTTGGAGTCTAAAAACTGGGTCCGTCTTATGAAGTGGTTTATCTAATACTTTGTTTTAATTTCGTACCCTAAAATTAAACTTCAACTTTCTATTATTTCTAATCATCATTATTTGTTTTTTTTTTCGATAATTCCTGAAATTTAAATTGTTTTTCCGATATATTTTAATGCTTTGTCTCTGGCTTTGTAGGTTTAAGATAAAGATAGAAGTTTTAATTCTGATATTTGCTGATATTATTTTAATATGCATTTGAGTTCTAATAACAATCCTTTCAAAATTATAAACAAAAAAAACATATTTTAAACTTAAGATCAAGAAAATTTGTAAAGACATAAAAACATAAAGAAGATAGTATATTTACTATATGTTACTTAAATTGAGAATTTTATGGTATATATAAAAAAAATATATTATAGAATTTTCATATATTTCATTATAGTTATATAATTTAAATTCTTACGAATAAAAAAATACATAGATTCGATTAATCCGTATTCATTATAGTCCGATTTAGAAATTTTAAAATCCATTAAATTGATAAATTTGAGTCACATTTTTGCGGTTCATTTTAACATGTATTTAGTTTCTCGTGTGGTGCTAAAAAGTGTTATGTGTGAATACACAATTTTTTCTTTTTTTTTGTAAAAAAAAATAATATCTGAAGGCTGAAAGAGGCGAAAGCCCATAGCAGTCTCCATACCATACAATATACAACTGTAATTCTTATATATAGAAATACAAGATATTTAAACTTGAAACTTGAGTTTCTCGGTTCGTCCTGTTTCAAAAGAATGAAATTTCAATTTAGATTCATCATATTTCTTCGTTTTTTTAGTGTATATTCTATAAAAACTTAATATATTTACATATTTTTTAAGTATTTCTATGTGTATACATATATTATGTTTATGTTTATTTCGTTGTTTTTCATATAAAATTATTGTACATAAAAGTTTCCTGATGTTATGCGGATTTTCTTTTATAAACATTACATATGAATTTAATGTTTTTGTACTAAATATATTATTTTATCTATTATTTACATTTTCTATGTGTATTCAACCGAAACATATAAATAAATGGTATCAAAGTCTTGGATCAATTATTTGTTTTTGAGGCAATAAATATTTGATGTATCTATAAAATATTGCTTTCGCCACCTTCTGAAGTGGAAAACTAATAATAATAATAAAAAAAAATACTGACTATATAGTATAATAAAATAATGGAAGAAAATAAATATCTGATCTGCAAGTTCACTGACTGGAATAGATCTTATTTTTTAATATAAATAAGATTCATTTTTATTAGAATATACATGTACATAGACGCACATACTTATATAATCAGATGTAATAAAAAGAAGTAAATCCAATTTAAATATACATGAAACGAGTTTTTATTGGAACAGAAAGTTTCGGTTGCTTGAATCTTGTGCTTCTTCCTAACTCTCTCTCTCTCTTCTTCACTTGGCAAGTATAAACTTTAATACATTAGTGCGTTACATGTGGTCGTAAAACTAAACTGCAACTGTGGTCGTCCCAGAATCGCAACGGAACAAATCTTTTGTAATTAGATTATATTTTGTAGTCGAAAATTTCTACGCTTTTATTACTCCTGCAATAAATTTCACAAAATTTGTTGCATATATAAATAAAATGAATATAAAATTTATTTTTATAAATATATATATTTTTGAAGATACTTTTTTTTTATAATTATTATAAACTTTTTCATCGCACAGAAAAGGCTAATTTAGATTTTTTGGTTTCTTAATATTAATTTTGTAATATGTTAATTATGTAAATATTATGATTAATGTTTAGAATTTTGAAAATATATTAATTTCAATGCCTTGTATCTTGTATATGGAATAATTACATTAACTACTGCTAGATTTTAACAGCAATATTAATAATACATAATTATTGTAGATTTAACAATTTCAGTTAGATTAATAATATATTACCAAATGTACAATTAAATTATGTAATACTACTAAATTAATTAGTGGAGATAAGTGCATATTACTTAATGTACTGAAATTAATGTATACATTTTAACTTATTAAAAATATTACTTTATTAATCTGATACACGGATTATATAATGATTAATTTATTATTTACAAACTTAACCAAACTGAATTTATAATTTAATACAATGAATAATTTCAGCATAATCAAACTAAGAAATTATGAATGATTTTAAGACGTACAAAGATGAAAATACTGTATTAACTAATGTATAGTTTGTGCAACAAATTGTTTCAATTATTGCTTTATTGTTGATAAAAATAATAATAAAATATTATTTTTAGTTTATTATTGTTGATAAAAATAATTATAAAATATTATTTTTAGTTTAGTAACAAATTACACAAAACCTTTTCTATTAGCTGTTATGATGTTTAGTTTCAAATAAAGTAGCGTCCACAACTTACATAATAAATTAAAGAAATTATTACTACATTACTTGCTTAATTATGTAATTAATTAACGTAAATATGTAACATGACTCACTGGAATAAAACAAGTTATTTTAGTAGTAAAAATATATTAAATTGGTTGTTTTTAAATAAATTTCTCTTTGTTATTTGGAGCATACAAATTGTGTAGCAATTACAAATCCTAATAAAAGACCTTTCACAGACGTGACTGTAATATGACTCGAAACTGATTTTATTATACGCTTTTTTTCTGGGCAATAATGGCCAATTACATCGAAAGCATCGGCTGCGACGAAGTATGAGAATAAGTAGGGTAAAGAAAAGAAAACGTGCTACGTCTCTCTACAAAGGCCATATATTCCTTGCAAAAAGGAGCATGGCAATGGAAAAATCTTTGTATACAGATTTTCCTGTGTACTGGGGTGAGTATATGTTTATGTGGGTGTGAGTGTGCAAATGTAAACAAGACACTTAATTCAGCCAGGGGGTGGCTATCATTCGCGAAGCCTTTCTGGTTTTCAAAGAAAATGGGCGTAGAGTGAAAGGAAGACCTCGAGGAAAATAAATTGTGTACTTTTGGCATTCCTTGGCGAACGGAAGCTGTGGGCGGTTTTGCCGCCGTCGACTACGACGACGTTCTCTACTACCAAAATTTCTCAATCCCTATGAAACCTCGAATCTACCGATTCGCCACATTATCCACCACCGAACATTGTATTAATTAGCAAGTACATAGTTCTAAATCTTCCTATACTAGAATCTTAATTAAACATTTAAATTTTCGGTTGTAGAAGACGTTGCTCTCAAATATGTATATTGTAAAAAAATAAAAATTAGTAACGTTTCATGAAAAACAAACGTGTATTTGCGGTATACTTGATATTTAAAAAAAAAATAGACCAAATTTCTTCTATACACAAAGAATCATACAAAATAAACTGCATTAGACAGTCGTGAATGTGTACAAAAAATGTTACATAATATGTCAACATATTTTATATTTTATATAATATACAGGGTGGCCTTATTGAACTGCAACCAACTTAAACCTATTTCGTTTCCATATTTCGCTGATTTTATAGTTTACAAACCTACGGAAGGATTTGCATCTCAGATTTTTGGAAAAAAAAGTTATCCGTGATGGAATTCAAACGTGGAAATTGAACGGAAAACTAAAAGAGGCTATTGTTAGAGCCCTTGAACACCTCAATGTGAATAAATATTTTGTGTCTCGAACCATAACATGTTATAACGAAGCTAGTATTACAAAATCCTATTTTTGTGGTCGAAAAAAAACTACATCTGTTGCAGAAGAGTTCGGAAAGTTAAGGCTCAAATTGAATGAAATTCGCCACGCAGTGGAAGACAAATGGCTACTCAGCTGAACATATTGAAAATAACCATGCAACGAATAATCAAAAACGAACTAAAAATGAATTCTTACATGTTCTAAAAAGGACAAGATCTCACGGATTAGAAAAATTTTCCAATTGATAAATTCGTAAACAAACAAAATGATCGAATTTACTTTGAAGAGATGTCAAACGAAAATTTAGACATTCGAATGACCACAAGTAGTCAAGCACCATCGTTTGTGGCAGTCACGGCTTCCCAAGACGGTTAATGCGAATGTCTAACACGAAAAAGTTTTGTAGTAACAGTTGAATTAGTTATTAAACTATATTTTCGTTAATTTATTATACGAAGCGCATAAAGACTTCAGTCTATAGAGTTTTGGGTCAAATTAATATGAAGAAATAAAAATATACGAAATTTATATATATCTAACTTCTTTGTTGATATACTGTTAATTGTGTTAAATTTTGTACTTACTTTGAAAATAAAACTCGATCAACGGTGTTTCCTGAGAGCGTTGAAAAAAATATAACTGTGAGCTAAAGCTTATATTTAGGTGGGCTAATTATGTGCAAATACCAGGCGATTGTATTTCCAGCATCTTTCGCCACCTAAACCACCGTCGAGGCTCGGTAACGAGGAAAACTGAACAAAAGCGGAGAGTTTGCGTTTCCCCCGCGATTGTTATACAACTTTCCATTTGCGGAGTGAAAAACCAACACTCGAAGCACGGAATTTTCATTTTGTGTAATTAGAACGAAATGAGGTAAGGACGGGCGCATGCACGTCTACTGCAATTATTAACTGGGTCGCGCGCAATTCATCCACTTCATTTTTCTTTGTCTCCACCACTTATCCCGTGATATATAGTATAGTAAAGTGGTGTTATACTAAATCCAAACCGATCATTGAAATAACTAACCACCACCAGACACAAATATTGAACATTTCTGTAATCAATATTTATTACAATCTTTAAATTAAATGAAGGATAAATAAAAACTAATCCAGTTACTTTAAAAAAATGCAAAAATGCGTCTCCCGGCTTCAATTCCACTTTCGCTAGGTGGCTATGGTATTCATTTTACTAGCAAAAAATTGCGATCAAATATGCGGTTTCTAGACTTTGCTCCAAAAAGGTTGCCTGGGGTAGATATAAACAATTGCTTCTTTATATTAAAAAAAAATCTGTACCTCTTTCAAATTATTATTGGAACAAAATATATAATATAACAACAAGTTTTGTTTAAAGTTCAATAAAAATAAACGGAAATTGAGCAAAACAAAAAATATAATATGTAATTATTTTTTTACTTACGTTAATAGATCAATTATTGATTTAAAAACTGCTAAATATGATAATGAAATAATTTGGTTCATAAAGTAATTTGAAAAACAAGAAATACAAAATAATGGTTTTAAAAGACATACTTTTTACGTACAAACTGGCAATTATGAATTTTTTTCAAATATATTAGTTTCATGTTTAATATTTAAATTCACATATTCCGAACAATTTAAGCACATTATAATTGAAATCAAATGGAAAAATTCTTCAAAAATCTCCGATCCTGACATAAGTACAATCATGTAGGAAGGAAGTGCTTCATAATCCAATTACTTGTGCAAATCAGAGCTTAATTGAACAATGTGTATTACGCGGCATGTATTAATTGTAATAAGTTGTAAATGTGAATTATAATTAGAAGAGGTTTATGTAAACTAGAGAGAGATGAGAGACTGAACGAGGGAGAGATAATACAGCAGACTATATTGAGTAGAACGCCTATGTCGAGGAGGGAATTAATTTGGCTAATGAAGCCTTTTCGAAATGCATATTTATGTATTTGCTACAACGTTTAAGCGCATCCTTCATTATATTATCTCATCACAACATCACAACATTAATTACGTTCGAGGTTTTCAAAACAAGCTCACTGGGGAATTCAAGGCATGCATTATTTACAAAAAAAAAAGAGAATAAAACGTTTACCATGTTTTGTTTAACATTAATTTGTTCCGATTTTTTTTTGAGAAATTCCTTGAAGAATTTAATAAATTTAGAATTTATTAACATGCATTATTAAAATTCTTCATTGAATACTTTTGAAACAACAAGTTGCAATGATTTATTATTCATGGGACTTGAACACATGTATTTTAAAATTATGTAACCAAATATAATAAACATATAATGAAACATTTCTAATTGTAGTAGTAAGACCATAGTTTTGTACATTATAATTACTTGAGTAACAATCAATTGTTATAATAATAATAATGATTGTGTACACTGAGTACGCAATACTTGACAAGTAAGTGTTTGAAAATATAAATATAAATGAAAAAACAGTTTTACATTACGTTTTGGTTCTATTCTATTGAATAATAATAATTGGCTTTTAGTTATCTATTCATTCAAATGTATGTTGAAAGCTCTAAAACATCACGTCCCAGACTAGAGAAAAATTATCCTTACATCATGTATGTCAATTATATTTAATGAATAAAGTCAAATTATTCAACAGCCTTATTATTAATCTTGTTTACGATACAGAAGAAAACTTGATTATTATATAAAAGTAGTAGTAAAATAATTGTAAAAACTGTAGAAATTCGTATTTTTCTAGAAATATTTTAGATTATTCAACTTATTTACATCAATTCAACCACATGATTTTCCATAATTCTATAATTACCTAAAAAATAATAATAAAAAATATAAATATCAAAACATAAAAAGTATGCATTAAATATAATTTACAATTATTTTCTTTAAGGAATTGTGAGAAACTTTTTATAGACCAAAAATAAACAGAGAAATTATATCCAAATCATTAATTAAAATTTGTTACAGCTGTATTTGCTAAGAAAACAATCTAATTAAATAGATTAAAACGGAATTATATCAAGAAATTCTTGGACTATAAAATACTATGTGAATTATTGGAGATACTAAATGTATAAATTTCTAAAAAGATAATTATGTCGAAATAGTACATACATTATTCAATTGGTGGACAGCTTAAATACACTACAAAAATTTCAATAAATGGAGATATCTTGTGATTTGTGTATGTATCCTATGTAAATTTATATGCATCACATCAAGAAAACCTTCATTTAATTCAAGAATTGTTTAAGATGTCATGAAAATTAAATAATATTAAGTCATCATCATCTAAATCATTTTGTAGTAAATTTATAAAACTTATTTAGATAAGAATGATGGAAAGATTTGAAAGATCTTAAATTATCATATATACAAGATGTTTTCTATAACTTTCAAATTTTTCTATACTTTAGCAATTCAATAAAATTGTCCATACTAGATCTATTAATAACTATACAATAGTTTTTCACTTCATATAGAAGTTATAAATTTGCATACTAAAAAGGATCATTCTGTAATGCTGACTGTCAATTAGCGGCGGGCGACTGAGATGTACTCATTTAATTTTACATAATGCAATCGCGAAATTAATAAGCGGACGGAGAATGCGGCGAAATTGCCGACCCAATGATCCCAATATACCCCATGCTGACTAGTGCAAGAAAATTGCCCTTTTTCCACCCCCTCGTTCACGTATTTCACCAGAATATCGCGAATTTAATTAAAGAAAAGGGCGTTGACGCAAATCCGGCCGACAATATTAAATTCATGCAAAGAAAAGGAGGGAGACTTGTACTTAAAAAGAAAAAAAAAAGACGAAAAAGAGGAAAGAAACCTGTATAGCAAGTAAATGAAGAAAGCACAGGAAGGGGTGGAATGAACGAAAGGAATGCGTTTCTTTTTTCTACTTTAAACGCGAAAAAATAAACGTTTACGGAACGGCGATGTTAATTACAAAACACTGATTGTAATCACAGAAAAAAATAATTACGCACCAATAGTCGCTTGTTTTTATACATATTTTTCGTTGTTGTTTTCTTGTATTTTTTTGACTCTGATAGACTCCGCTCGACCCAATTTACTCTTAATTTTTTTGCGTTTCACAGTTCCATTTGTGTCGTAATTAAAAACTGTTTCATGCATTCCACGCTTTTTTTATTTGTTCCATGCTTGTTATTGTGGGGTGTGCGATGTATTTTTTTGCTCAACTCCGCGCGAACAATTTATTAAGAGAGCTGCGATCAAAGTGCAATTGAAAACAACAACAAAAAATACGTGCACAAGCAGAGGTTTTTGTCGTGTTTAATGAATCCGTTAAAATACAGCGTTTTACATAATTTGTCTTTGTTACTTCATAAAAACGTATTGAAATTTTAAAATATAATTATTGCAGTTTATGAACTAACTTTTTTATTTTATAATAATATTTAATTTGTTGCAACAGTAAAAACAAAATTAATCATTTTCATTGACAACATTACTGATAATGAATTATTTTGCTGCAAATTATGTTTTATTATTTAGTTTGTTAATTGGATTTTAACTTTTTATGAAAATTGATTAGGTTGCGCAATAATAAATATTCTGCACATAGTTTCTTTGTAAATTAACACAAATAATTGCTACAATATCAATAGTTGACATCTTTTCTTTGATATAAAATTAACACATTTTCTTTTTTCTGAGAAAAATATGTAACATATTTTAACTACCGAGACTGGTCAATTTAACATTCAATACCAAAGAAACAGATTGAGCTTCCTTGTAATCTATCTAATAAAGAAGCTCAAGTATGTATATTATTGAAAACAAAGATAAATTACAAAGTTTCTATTACAACTTGTAGTAAAGTCATATAACTTGCGATGAGGCCTTAACGTTATAAGAGTTAGTTAATGTTTCCTTTGCATTAGAAGTTATAAATGCTATGTTGAAGATAGTAATGTAAACCAATAATGTGAGGACAGTAAAAGTCAATGTTTCTGATGCAAACATTGAACATTTTATTAAAACGTTAATATTACTGTTATAGTACAGAACAAAAAAAATATTTTGAAAAACGTAATTGTACGTAATACGTATAACGTAATACGTAACAACGCATCGCAAATACTACTGATCCGTTATTTTCGAATAAATAAGTTAGGTTTTCAACCCGGAAATGCATCGGTTCATAATATCAGGAGGAAGTATCAAACCCGATATGATTTGCTAATGTTGCGGAGAATATAAAACCTAAAAAAATAAGTTTGTATCATTTTGACCCATCATGGCAGGATTAAGTATTTATGCAATGTACAGTACCTGTTAGAGTATTTTACATATCAACCATGGAAAGCATTAAGTAATTCATAAAATATATAATAAATAATAGTTTACAACAGTGATTCTCAACTTGGGGTCGCAGAAAATTTAATGATAGACGAGACGGTATGATTTGTACGTCCTTTAATTTTTTTAATTACAAAAGAGAGTCGCGGGCCAAAAAGTTTGAGAAATACTGATTTACAAGATTTATAAGTATGCTACAACTTAATATTATATACTTAATGTATAAAAATAATGATTATATATGCACAAGTATACAAGACCAAAATT